GAAGAAATAAAACAAAACAACAAAAGAAAAGGAGAGCAAATGGTATGCTTCCATCTGCATTCAGACTCCATAGTTCTTTCTCTGGATGTGAATAGCATTTTCCATCAGGAGTCTTTTCGAGTTGTCTTAGATCCTTGCATTGTTGAGAAGAGCCAAGTTTATCAAGGTCAGTCATCACACACTGTGGCTGTTACTATGTACAATGTTCTCCTGGTTCTGCTCATTTCATTCAACGTCAGTTCATGTAAGTCCTTCTAGGTTTTTCTGAAGTCTATCTGCTCATCATTTCTTATAGTGCACACAATAATATCCATTACATTCATATACCACAACTTGTTCAGTCATTCCCCAATTGATGGGCATCCCCACAATTTCCAATTCTTTGCCACCACAAAAAGAGCTGCTATAAATATTTTTGTACATGTGGGTCCTTTTCCTGTTTTTAGGATCTCTTTGGGATACAAACCTAGAAGTGGTATTGCTGGGTCAAAGGTTATGCACAATTTTATTTCCCTTTGGGCATAGTTCCAAATTGTTCTCTAGAATGCTTTGCCAGTATTTTAATGGCAATGTCAAGTCCTCTTTCAGGCATGAGTGAGATCGAGGTTTGCATGGCATTTTACTGGATTTTCATTATATCCAGAAGATAGAGCAGGGAACAAAGGGGACCTGTAAGAGAAGAATTCCTGTAACAATGGACAGACTATGTAGATGCCACATATTTTGTGGTGATGGGACAAGTTCTAAACCCCAACTGTGTTCTGACTCCCTCCCACTGTTTGCACTCCAGAGATGGGTAAAACAAAATAGACTGAGTTAACAAAGCTAGCAGTTGTGAATGGGTGAATGAAAGTTGATATTACTCATTGACACATATTTTAATTACTCCAATTAAACATTCATTCTAAAATTACATTGAAGATTGAGTAATTAGGAAACACAGGGATCAAGATAAGAGAAGGCTTTTTTCTAGAGTAGAATGGAAGCAATCCATGAAATTTGATTGGATAATTCACATAGACCAATGAGAGGAATGCCATACCACTCACAAAGGGATAGTGCCAAGTGAAAAGTAGTAGCCAGCTCTTGTCTGGCCACAGTTAGAGTTGTGGGCTTGGAGGCAAGAAGACTCATCTTCCTAAAGTTCTATTCTGGCCTCAGACACTTAATGAATTGTGTGACCTGGGCAAGACATTTAACCCTATTTGCCTCAGTTTCTTCATTTGTAAAATGAGCTGGAAAAGGAAAGGGCAAACCATTCTAGTATCTTTGCCAAGAAAAATCCAAATGAAGTCAATGAAGAGTCAGAAATGACTGAAAATGACTGAACAACAGCTCTTTGGAAAAAACACCACTAGTAAGGGCACCAGTCACTTTGCTAAATATTTAAATATACAAAAGAAAATTTGAGTCATCTATCCTGTAAAATCAAAATAGTTGACTAAGGAGTCCTCAAATGTAGGAAGCAGGGGAACCTGTGATTTCTTTGAATCATCTTTTGGTGGCAGGGAGGATGCTTTAGCTTTAAATGGGTATGGGAATGGACATTCCTGACTGGGCTTCATTCTCTGTTCTCTTGATCTCAGACCCTGCTGCTTTCAAAAAGCAGTTTGTTTCTTTTCCCATGCTGAATTTTATATCAACACCTTGTTCAGAATAGGTTCCCATATATTAACTTCAACAAGTTTCTTTTGCCTGCCTGAGCTGCTTTGCCTGCTAGAAACAAAAGAATAAGAAGCTCAGGGTCAGCATATTGTCCCACAGCTGGGAAGTGTCTGAGGCCTGATTTGAACTCAGAAGATGAGTGAGTCTTCCTGCCTCCAGGACCAGTTTTCTATCCACTTATGCCACCTAGCTGCCCAGAAAGAGTAATTTTGTGTATTGAACAGCCAACTGTTTTATGGTTATTTGGAACTGGTTTCTTTAAAGAAATTTTATTGATATCTTTTTTCTTTCTTTTTAATTAAATTTTATTTTTAATTTATGTAATAAAACAAGCATTTCCATAAAAAAGATGATTGCACATGAAACGGAAAATATACTATGTATAACTTGCTATTCCTTTCAAATATACAAAAATTTTTTATGTAAATTTTTTCCTTTTTTTCCTTTTCTTCTCTCTCCCTCCCCCATCCTAGAGATGGCTATCATTAGACAAATATGTATATACACACACACATACATATGTAAAATTATTCTTCTATTTATCAATTCTTTCTCTGGATGCAGATAGTATCTTTCTTCATATGTCCTTTATAGTTAGTTTGGGTATTTATAATAGTAAAAAATAACTTATTTGTTCAAAGTCATTCTTAAAACAATATTGCTGTTACTGTATACAAGTTCTCTTGATTCTTCTCATTTCATTCTTCATTATTTCATGCAAGTCTTTCCACATTTTTCTAAAATCATTGAGCTCACTTGATATTGATATCTTTTAACGTCATTTTCATTTCCAAATATGTTTCTTCTCCTCCCCTACCAAGAGAGCCATCCCTTGTTACATAGAGTAAAAAGAGGAGAAATTTTTTCAGTAAAACTAAGGAAGATATCAACAATATAGGCAATATTCCATACCAACACTTCTGAAAAGAAGGAAGAAAGATGTGTTTCTTCATCTCTTCTCTAGGGCAAAGGTTGGTCATCATTTATTACATAGTTCAGAATGAACCCTTTTTTTTCGCATTACTGTTCTGATATGCAGTGAATACCAGTGATTTTATTCTTACAATCACGGTAAACATGAATCTTGGTGGTCACAAGGAGGTAACAGTGTATGGTAAACCAAAACCAGGTCATTCCAATGATGATTGAACAGCAAGCCCTACAGTAAGATGTGAATTCCAGATCCATACATAATATCAGCAGTATGTACCTGGGAGTCTTTCAAGAGCATTAGGTCTCATGGAGTTTGAGTGCAGACTGAAGCATACTATTTGCTTTTTTTCCCTTTTGTTTTGTTTCTTCTTTCTTGTGATTCCTCCCATTGGTTCTAATTCTTCTTTACAACATGACTAATGTGAAAATATGTTTAATAGGGATAGATATGTAGAATCCAAATCAGATTGCATGCCTTTCTTGGGGAGGGAGAGAAAATTTAAAACCCAAAAGCTTATGGAAGTGAATGTCGAAAACTAAAAATAAATTAATAAAAAAAAAAGTTAGGTCTCAGAAGTTGAGGAATCAGGACATGCAAAGTCAGAGGGCAGAAAATACAGTCTTAATCTACTTCTACTGCAAAGAAAACAACCATAACAGCAGCAACAAAACGCCTCATTCATTCTGGAGATGAGCCCCTCTGAACTCTAAGCAAGTGCTGGAATAACAGTAAACATTCATTAAGCACCTACTGTGTGCTACAAGCACTGTGCTAGGCACTGGGGACGCAATGACAATAAAATAATCCCTGCCCTCAAAGGGTCTCCATTCTAACAGGAAAAATATAGACGTGTAATCCATCAACGGGCCTTCTTCAAAACCTTTCTTGTCTGGCAGGCAAGGATACTTCCATGCAACAGTATGAAACGTAGGACTTCAGTGGTGTGAAGTTCAGTAGCTTATATTTCTCGTACTTTGTAGTTTATAATAATAATAATAACACATTTTTATAGTGTTGTACAGTTTCCAAAGGCCTTTCTTCCTATGAGGTGGGTGGTCATGTTAGGCCCATTTTACTTGATCAGGAATTAACGTGAGTTGGCCAAGGCTTGTTGTTTAGTCATTTCAATAGTGTCTGACCCTTTTGACCCCATTTGGGCTTTTCTTGGCAAAGGTACTGGAGCGATTTGCCATTTCCTTCTCCAGCTCATTTTACAGGTGAGGAAACCGAGGCAAACAGGGCTAAGTGACTTGCCCAGGCACACAGATAATAAGTGAGGCCAGACTTGAGCCGAGGCTAAGAATGATCAAGTGACTTGCTCGTAGGCTAGTCAAGTGGCAGGGTTGGTACTCGAACTCAGGCCTTCAAGACACCAAATCCAATGTTTTCTGCCCACTGTCAGGCTGCCTCTTCTCTCAAAGACCATCTGATGTACATATTATATGAGGATGTCCGCGTACCTTGAGTTAGACTGTATGTTAAAATTCAAGGTGAAGGTCAGGACCAAGCTGCCCTAGGGAGCAACTGGGTAATTGCTCATGGGATTTTTCAGGGTGGTGCTTACCAACCATATGTCAGGGACTGATACTGAATTACCAATTTCAAGAACCGTTTTTTATGATTGGTTGAAGGAATGCTGACTATGTCCCACCTCCTTCATGGAGTTTAGGCCCCATACCAGTGACTACTCAAAATGGGGAAGATTTGGGAAAGGGTCATTTTGGTCATTTGGGGGACTAACCTCTCTTAATACTAGTGCCTTCCCTCTGTGAATTATTTCATATTTATCTTGTTCATAGCTTGCTTTGTATGTATTTGTTTGCAGGTTGTCTCCCCCATTCAACTGTAAGCTCCTTGAGGGCAGGGACTGACTTGCCTCTTTTTTTATCCCCAGTGCTTAGCACAGTGCCTAGCATGTAGGCTGATTGATTAACTGATTGGTCAGAACTATAACTGAGGATTACAGTATCGAGGGCAAATTCATTTGGGGCTAAGATGGGGAGGGGGGAAGCCAGAAGTGACAGAGACCCCAGAACATCCCACACGTACTGCCACTATATCTAAGAATACACATTCCAGATGGCAAGCAGTTTTCCCAGGTCTAAGGCCACCATGCTGGTGCTAAAGCCTGGCCTCACTTCAATGCAATTCACATGCAAGTGAAGACATCGCCCTCCTGATGTCATTGGTCCTCTTCAAAAACAAAGGACAAACAACACCTCTTGCTTGGTGCTGAGGTGAGGGAAGGTAGGGAAGAAGAGGGATGTGACAGTGTTGGAGCCCTCAGAGAGTGGCATCCATAGGCTAGGGGCTCCCTCTAGCCCACCCCCAAAGGGTATGATTTCCAGTGCTCACCATTTAACCAACCCCTTTTTCACTGATGTCTGCTCTGTCTTCACAGGTTTTGGTATGACTACCCCCTCGACCGTGGCTGGGAAAGCCTTCCTCATTGCATATGGCCTGTTTGGGTGTGCAGGGACCATCCTCTTCTTTAACCTCTTCTTGGAGCGTATCATCTCTCTGCTGGCATTCATCATGAGGGCCTGCCATGAACGGCAGCTACGCCGGAGCGGTCTGCTGCCCCCCAACTTCCGCCGTGGCTCAGCGCTGTCAGAGGCAGACAGCCTGGTGGGCTGGAAGCCCTCTGTCTACCACGTAATGCTGATCCTGGGCATCTTTGCCATCCTCCTCTCCTGCTGTGCCTCTGCCATGTACACCAGCGTGGAAGGCTGGAACTACATGGACTCTCTCTACTACTGTTTTGTGACTTTCAGCACCATTGGCTTTGGGGACCTGGTCAGCAGCCAGCAGGAGGCCTACAGGAATCAAGGGCTGTACAGGCTGGGCAATTTCCTCTTCATTCTCATGGGCGTGTGCTGCATCTATTCCCTCTTCAATGTCATCTCCATCATCATCAAGCAGGTTCTGAACTGGATGCTGAAGAAACTCAGCTGCCAATGTTGCAACCGATGCCGGAGGCCCAGTTCCCGCCTGGGAAGACGCAATGCCATTACCCCTGGCTCCCGCTTCCGCCACCACCTCACTGCGATGGAGGCTGATGGGCACTATGACAGCGATGCGGAGGGCCGGAGGTTATCAGGAGAGATGATCTCCATGAGGGACCTGATTGCTTCCAACAAGGTCTCCCTGGCCCTCCTGCAGAAGCAGCTGTCAGAGACAGCCAATGGCTATCCCCGAAATGTGTGTGTCAACACACGGCAGAATGGCTTCTCGGGGGGGTGTGGGGGCTCTTGGGATCATGAACAATCGACTGGCAGAAACAAGTGATTCCAGGTAGATAGGGTGTTGGGGGCGGGGGGGAGGGGCAGGGTGGGAAGGACAGAGGATGCAGCCTTCTGGTTTGCTTTTTAAATTTGCCCTATGAGAGTGGCACTGTCTAATTCTTTATCTAACCAGATGAAATGATACCAAATACCAAGTGATCCTACCAGGGCTGATTTCAGAAGATCCTAAGCTACCTGCTAACTCATGAGTCTCTTCCCAAATGCGTTGGGAATCTTTGCCTCTACCTAGCAGGCACTGAGGATAACACCTCAGCTCTTTGGAGAAGAAAGACAGTCTAGGGTTTCTCTCTGCTGGTAGAAGCACAGAGAGTATTCCCCTGCCATAGGGCAACCAGTGAGGACTGCACTGAGTCCCTGCTGGAAATAACATTTCTCCTAAACCCTAAAATGTATGGTGCATTTTCTCATGGCTCGGAATTAATTCCCCAGGATTTACAATCTGGACCAAAAATAGCAATTTCTTTGTGGTTCTCTGAAATGGCAGTTACAGTCATGACAGGTTGGGGGTGGGGAGAGCCATGTGTTGCATATATATGTATATGTGTGTATATAGATATGTGTATATTATGTATGTATGTATATAGTACACCTATTATACACACAATATGATGCTATAACATTATGCAATGAGATGAAACATATCACTTATTCAAAGACTATTGCTCCCCCATTCTGAACTTGCACCAAATAAGGAGGATTGTTTTATCCTTTTCTCAGCCAAGAAGCAATTCCATTAGTAGTTTCTAGGCACAAGTGGGCCAAGTGACCATTCTGACATTGAGGCAGAACCCCATGTCCTAGGAACACTGCTCCAAGGGGAGACAGTAGAGAAATGAAGAGGGGAATAAGGGGCAGATGAAATCAAAGTGGAGGGAAAATTCAGGGTGTTGACAGCCACTCCCCAACCCCACCCACCACCCCACCAGCCCACGTGGCCTCAGAAAAATATAATGCCCACTAGGGCACTGGTTCAACCACTTGATGTGATATTCAAGTTGCCAGGAATAGCTCTGAGGTTGCCCCCCACCCCGCCCCTGCTTCTGTCATGAGGGATGCTCACAGTTCTTGGTGATGCTTTTCAGTATTACCTGAGAATTTCTGGCTCTCCCATAGAAAGACTTTAAGTTAACATTTCAAATCTTTTTTATCCTGATCAGTTTAGAAACAATGAGTCTTGTGGATACCACAAGTAGCCCTCTCCTCTGCTCAACCTCTCCACTCCTCATTAAGCTCAACAGTCAAAGTTCATTAGCCATTCTAATAGAGGGGAACCACAGCAGAGAAGCAACAGATAATCCAAAAGTCAATCTCATTTGCTTTTGGAATGTGTAATATTATTTGGAGGGGGAGGAGCATGAGAATTTCCTTCTTAATTCTGATTTAGTCAAGCTAAGGTTAAAATTAATTTGTATTCCTTGCCTATATAAATCTGCTAAGCATGGGCAGTTGTGGTCAAGGAACCAATTTGGATTGAGAAGAGGAGAGACCAGCCTAGAATTAAAATTTCACCTTGGGGAATCCATAGGTGATGGGGTGATGGGATACACTGTCTCTCCTAAGCTGGTTTGCCCTCTCACCCTTCGTACTACCTGGTTCACTCACCAACAGGGAGACAAAGAGATGAAGATCTAATGGCAAAGATTGCCCTGTTCACTGTGAGAGCAAAGTGGCCCCGACTGAGTAAAGGGAGCCACCTTCCATTCTTATTGATCTTTAGGATGAGAAGCCCTATATTAAGTATATTTAGTGATAGAGTCAGAGAACTGGAAGAGCCCTCAGATCATCAATTTTTCAGATGAGGAAACTGAGGGTTAGAGAGAGGAAGACATTTCTTCATATGGACACATGCCTGAACTATCACTAGAGACAGCTCCTGGTGTGGATTAAAGCACCAGGGGACCACAAAGAGATGTGGTTCATGGGATCACAGATTTAAAGCTAGTCCAATGCCATCTTTTTTTTACAGATTAGAAAAGTGAGGCCCAGAGAGGTTAACTGATTTGGCCATTGTCAGACAGGGACAGAGCCAAGATTCAAATATGGATTCTCTGACTCCAAATATACATGCTGTTTTCATTGCACTATACTGCTGGGAAATTTCCCTAAAATTTAAGCAAGCATCTGTATCTGATGTGTGTGTGTGTGTGTGTGTGTGCGCGCGTGCGTGCGTGTGTGAGTGTGTGCACGCATACACGCACGCACGCGCGCACACACACACACATGTTTTATGTATAACCATGAGGAAGTACCCACGATGATAAGATCACAGATATATCCAAGTATATAGATATATATACATACATATGCATATTACATAAAAAGATTAAATGATAAATTTCTTTTCTCCATCTTGCATACTGAGCCAGATCTTAGCAGGAAAGAGAAAACAACCTAAGAGACAGTAACTTAATTCAGTCACTGGAAAGGGGAGATGAGGCAGAGAATCCCTATGGGAGTAGGACCAGAACCTTGAAGCCCAAGGGGGCTTTATAGGTCATCTGATCTAACCTCCTCATTCTGCAGATGAAGAAGGAGGTAAAGCAACTTGCCCCATGGTGCCACAGAAAGTGAGAAGAAGCAGTGTGGCATAGTGGCTAGAGAGCTGGATTTGGAGTAAGGAAGGCCTCAGCTTGAATTCTACCTCTGACACTTACCAGCTCGGTGACCACTTGCAAATCATTTCCCCTCTCTGAGATTCCGTTTTCTTACCTATAGGATACCTGTAGTACTTACCTCACAAGGTTGTTGTGAGGCTCAAAGTAATGTTCAGAAATCCCCTATATCAATGAAATCCCTGGTCCAGAAAAAAAACACCATAAAATGATTGGCACACTTTAAAGTGAAATATCAGTGTCACTATTAGTAGTAGTAGTAGTAGTAGTAGTAAGTGGCAGAGTTGGGATTTGAACTCAGACCCTTGTACTCCAAATCCAGCACTAGATGTTCTGTGTCAATGAGATGGATGTTAGGATACAAACTGTGTCTGGCCACGCCAGACAGTGTGTTAACCAAAATGTGGGAGGAGTATCTTCCAAAGGATCCAGAAGCCATTAACCATGAATTTTGAAGGTGAAGTTCTGAGATAGAATCTTCTGAGGGCTAACATTTTAAGAGTTGCTGTCCTCAGTGCTGAAGTTCAGGATGTGTTGGCATTGCCAAGGTCTAACCAAGACTACTTCCCAAGATGCCTGCCTTATCCTATGTCTCCCACCTCAGTTAGGTGGGATCACTAAGGTCATCTCTTGAGAATCTTCCAGTAGAAGGATTCCCTCTTACTTCATCACTTTCATCACCGGTAGCTAAACTATTCAATGGCTATTGGAGTGTTTTATTTGGGGCTTTCTTTACTTTCAAAAGGGTAGTCCTCCCAAATATCCGGGGTGCCTTATTCCCCAAATGATATTTAGAATGGGAAATACAAAAAGAATCCATGGGAGATCAGAATCATGTATTAAAGTAGGAAGAAAAAAAGTACCCTTCAAGTGGGGACTATGATTGACATCTAAGGAAGCAACTCCCAGAAGGATGGACAGAAACAAACAAAGAGACAGGGAGATAGAGAAAGACAGAGATGGACAGAGAAAGGAGAGAGAGAAAGGAGGGGAGAAGAGAGAGAGAGAGAGGAGAGAGAGAGAGAGAGAGAGAGAGAGAGAGAGAGAGAGAGCAGGGAGAAAGAGGGAGAGAGAGGGAGGGAGGGAGAAATGCTTCCCCAGGGCCAAACCAAGTGACATAATCTAAAAATAAAGTTTATCCCTTTAAAGAGCAAAAGATTACTAGGCATCCAATTACAGATGTCACCCAGGCAACATGAAATAATGTCAGAAATTTTCTGAGAAATTTGGAGCAGGAACTATAGAGATCTTGTTGTTACATATAGACTTTGGACTGTAGACGTTGCCTATTAAAGCAAAATAGCTGTCCTTCCAAAGCAAGCAAGTCCATAAAGCACCCTGAAACCAGGAAAGTGGCTTAGTCATCCATGATCAAGGTGGAAAAGTGGATGCAAATAGAACTAAGAGAGTCAATCTGGTTTCTCCATTTGCCTACAGACAGGACTACATTTGATCCCATCCCGGGAAGAGGAGAACTGATCTTATCTCCAGGAAAAGGGAGCCCCAGATATACCTCAGCAAATCTATTTCCAGCTGTCAGGAAATAATCCCTGAAGTCAAACCCAGATCCCCCAGATCTCACAGGAACCTTAGCACAATTTTTGCTTCTTGCCATCTGCACCAGCTTCCACATGACCTGAGCTGAGCTGGTGAAGGGTACGTCTCTCATCTCAGGGCACTGCACCTCAGAACCTAGGAGGTTTCAGCTAAAAATCATGGGACTCCAAGTGCCAGCAACAGTTTCCAAAGAACCTCTGTCTCTAAGAACATAGCATGATTAAAGTTGGCTTATTAGTACAGACTTGACACCCTAATTGCTGTTTCATTTGTCACTCTGATCCCTGAGGGAGTATACCGAGAACACAGGAGCTATTTGGGAAACACTGAACCTGGAAGCCTGGCTGAGTCTCTTTCTAGCTCCCTCTACCTCCTCCTCCAAGGACCAGGTCCCTCAGCCCTCTGGCCACAACTCCACAAGTCCTGAGTCTGCTCTTTGCCCTTTTCCTACAGTTATGTCAGCTGCCTTGCCCAGGACAGTCTGAGCAGAGCTACTCCAAGATTTCCCCAGACTGACAGAGAATTCAGAGGGAGAGAGGTCCGTACTGGTAAAAGAATGATGACTCATACCTAGCTAGCTCTTTTAAAATCCCACACAAGCATTTTCCCCCTTCCTTTCCTCCAACTTGGTCTCATCCAATTTCAGTACTTAGCCCTCCCAACCTTAGGATAGCAAGGCATTTAAAACAGCTGTCAACTGAACTTTGTCTTCAAAGAAGCTTGGAAGGACACTTTCAGAAGCTCTCAGTTTTTTGAAGTCACATTTCACTCATGCCGATGGCCCATTCATTAGCCATTGTCTTATCAGGGGCCTGGGACAGCAG